ATTCCTGGTGGTCCGACAATACTCTTGTACAGACGAGTCGATCACTGTTCATGCGATGTTAGTTGTGATTTGAACGTTTGGTAGAGTAACCGTCGTGACGCTTGCCCTTGTGAAAATCCCGATGTCCCACGCGGTTGGAAAGTTAAAGAGACTTGTGTTTGCGATACGAACCCTTTGTGAACTAGACTAAAGAGAAAATAATCGAGTTGCGGGATAGATGAGAGACCCGTTTAACATTTGACCCTCTTCCTTGATTGAGAGCCTCTGGCTTTATTTTATCAGGGTCAGCACAAACTACACGTGGTGTTGCGGGAGAGTAACCCGTATGAACCACACAGATAAAACAATCCTACTTAAAAATTGGACATTTCTTGTGGATAACTTAACTCCCCGTTACATTCTCACTAGTCTGGTACAACGGGGGATTTTTACCCCCGCTGAGCAGGAGGATATTTTGAGTCACTGGTATGATACAACTCAGTCTGAGTTATTCTTGCAGAAAATGTTAAACTCGGGTTTGGATCAATCGTTTCAACACTTTCTTGATGTCTTAGAAACGGATTTTGCCTTTATCCGTGACAAGTTGACTGCTCCTGTGGAGGAAATGGGCCATGATTTAAAATGTCTAACAATCTAAATTTAAACTTTAAAGTGGCTTTTTTCTTATAGCCGTTTTCCTTTTTTACTTAATATTTTGTGTTCCCAGTGTGGAAAAGTGATACATAACACTATAAGTCGATATTGCAAGCGTGATGGAAGCTAGTACCCAGACATTCTCCAACTCACCGTTGGATCAAATTTGTCGTGAGGCAGAGTCTATGGCAGAAGATTTACTTATTACTTTTGATCAAGTGAATCCTAAAAAGCCTCCCAATAAATATTGTCGCACCTTACGGCGTACTGTGAAAGAGCTGTCAGATCGGCATGATTTAGTTTTTACCGGGTTGGTCAACAGACTAAAACCAGATGAAACAAATGCATTTCCAACTTTTGTTATTGTTGCGGATGAAATCTTTGCTGATGGACAAGTAAACTGGGGAAGGCTTGTTGCTGTTTATGCCTTTGCTGCACGAGTTGTCAAGTATTACATTGACAATAATAAAAATGAACAATCTGATAACATAAATGAATCCTATTCTTCGAGGTCCATACCTTACCAAAAGAAGTTTGCCTTATTTGTTGGAAAATATGTTGCCAACAAACTTGGAAAATGGATTCTCGACAATGGAGGATGGGTAATTATTTTATTTTTTATAGTTTTAAGTAGACCTAAATACTATCGTATAGTTAATAAAAATATTAGTTTAGGCGCCCTAGGCAAGGCTTTCCGTCTGGAAATTATACGTTATCGTTGGACACACAGAAAAAACATATGTCATACTATAACTATATGTATTATTCTTAATTTTCAGGATGGATTCGTTGAGTTTTTTCCAGCTCAATCGGAGCTGGCTGAAAAGATATGGAAATGTGCTTTATTTACTGCTATTGGCTTTGTCGGATTTGGCGCCCTATCCGCTGTATCAAGATAACGCCAACACCTGGACAAACGAACGCTTGTAAAAACACAAGGGTCGTCTTTACCTCTTAAAAAAAAAATAATGTCAATAAAACTATTAAAATGTATGACTTAAAATAACTATGTTTGTATCGGACAATTAAAAAAACTATTAAAATGTATGACTCCTGTTATTTTCTATCTGTTGTTGCTGTATATACTTTACTAATAAACATTACAAATTTTAACATTTTTAGAACCCTTGTCACTAAAAGTCATTTACCCCCGTATCGCTTACAATCCCCCGCCCCTATGGGCACTTGTAATGGTTGTGTCTACCCTCAGACCATCGAAAAAATTTCATCTAAACAAAGGGGTCTAAATCTGTCTAATACACTACCCGTTAATACACAGACTCCTGCTATAGTAACACCCCTCATTCCCCCAATCCAATAGATGAGATCCCTTGTACTAAAACACCTGTTAGATTTGCCTCACGTGCCGGTGTTCCCATAATCGGACGGTTCATGAATGGTGGGAAATGACATGGGAAACAGGGTTAAGCCGTACATTTCTTACGTTTTATTCTCAGTGGAATGCCTAGTGCTTGTTATGAAGTCTGTCGGAATATCTGGTAGAACCAAGAGGGAGCCCTGTCTGTATAAAATACACAACCCTACTTTTAAAATTTCTTGTAGCTAGCTCCCCGGTCGCCATTTTTGTTTATGGTCTAACCAGAGCGCTCCGCCCCTCACAGAACTCGTCAGCCCTTTTGTTAACAAGTGTAGCGGGGAAATGTGAACAATGGCCGAGCTGTGACCTTTGGTTACAATGCGCGGTGTAGCGTGACTTGTGAGCGCATGTGGGGTGATGGTATGTCAAGAGTTGAAGTCACTGATAATTTAAAAAAATATAACCCCCTAGACTTAAAATGTAAACAACACGCTACAATAACTCTAATTAGGACCCTACTCGGTCCTCAAAATTGACAAGAAGAAACTTAAAACATCTGTCATGCGTACAAAACATAATCCACTAAGCCTAAAAATTTAAACAACACACTACAATAACTCTAATTAGGACCCTACTCGGGCCTCAAAATTGACAAGAAGAAACTTAAAACATCTGTCATGCGTACAAAACATAATCCACTAAGCCTAAAAATTTAAACAACACACTACAATAACTCTAATTAGGACCCTACTCGGGCCTCAAAATTGACAAGAAGAAGCTTAAAACTCTCTGTCCTGCCTACCATCCCATATACAATAGACATGAAAACTAATTAAAATACAAGAAAATATACAATCAAAACACTTTGATAACCCGGTGAAAATGAGCAATATTTGATTACTCATCAATAAAATGCAATAAACTTATCCTGTTACAACCGCATTATTCAATAACAAGAATAAAACGACCCTACTTGGTCCTCAAACTTGCCAAGAAGAAGCTAAAAACCACCTGTCCTGCCTACCAAACCATAAACAATAGACAAGAAAACTAATTAAATTGCAAGAAAATATACAACCAAAATACTTTGAGAACCCGCTAAAAATGAGAAATATTTGCTTACTCATCAATAAAATTCTATAAACTTATCCTGTTACAACAGAATTATTCCATAACGAGAAGAAAACTCGTTATGAGTCACAGCTAATGAGAACCACTTATTAGAAAATCGACCACGACCTCGTGATAACCACTTAAAATATACATGAAAACTAATTAAAAATGTAAGAAAACCTACTAAAATGCAACCAAAAATTACCCCCATACTTTGAGAATCACTTAAAATAGACATGAAAACTAATTAAAATACAAGAAAGAATACAATCAAAACACTTTGAGAACCTCTTATTAGAAATATTTGCTTAGTCATCAATAAAAGTCAATAAATTTATCCTGATACAACCGCATTATTCCATTACGAGAAGAAAACTCGTTATGCTTCACACCTAATGAGAACCACTTATTAGAGAAAATGATAACCACTCAATCGAAAATTGACAAGAAGAAACTTAAAACATCTGTCATGCACCCAAAAGATAACTCACTAAGCCTAAAAACTTAAACAACACACTACAATAACTCTAATTAGGACCCTACTCGGTCCTCAAACTTGCCAAGAAGAAGCTTAAAACCACCTGTCCTGCCTACCAAACCATATACAATAGACAAGAAAACTAATTAAAATACAAGAAAATATACAACCAAAACACTTTGAGAACCCCCGAAAATGAGAAATATTTGATTACTCATCAATAAAACTCAATTAAGTTATCCTGTTACAACCACCTTAATCCATTACGAGAAGAAAACTCGTTATGATTCACACCTAATGCGAACCACTTATTAGAAAATCGACCCTGACATCGTGATAACCACTTAAAATATACAAGAAAACTAATTAAAAATATAAGAAAAACTACTAAAATGCAACAAAAAATGACCCCCAAACTTTGAGAATCACTTAAAATAGTCAAGAAAACTAATTAAAATACAAGAAAAAATATACCCAAAACACTATGAGAAACACTCATTAGAGAAAATGAGAACCACTCATAATAAAATTATGCAATAAAATTGTGATTCTGTTGAATCATGCACTTGTCATAAAATATAATAAAATTTGTTTAAAAACCCTCTTTTGTTATCTCTTTGATGTCTTTGATGTTGTATTTGTTATCTATTTGATGTCGTCATTAATTAAAATAATTTTAAGCATACACAACAGTACAACTCTAATTAATATAATTACACTCGGACAAAAATACAAAAATAATTACACTCGGACAACAATACAACAATAATTACACGCGGACAACAAAGGGAGGTACCTGTTTTAAGACCATTACAAAGTAATTATCGGGTTATGCCCCCTTGTAGGAGAACCTCCTACAAACCTCCTTATAATTAATATAATTACACTCGGACAACAATACAAAATAATTAATATAATTACACAATACAACTATAATTACACTCGTAGAACAAAGGGAGGTCACTTTTATAAGACAGTAATTATCGGGTTATGCCCCTTGGCGGGTTCACCCGCCCTTCACCCGCCAAAATTCGCGGCGTTTCCTCCCTAGTCTACTACTGATGAGTTTTAATGTATTTCTAATTCATTATTGTTTCTTGCTTTTTCGTGACTGATGAAGAAGGCTTTTATCCGAAACGCCCTTTAAATCGTCATGTCTTTTCATTTACAGCCTAAGCATTAAATATTGTTCCATTATTTAATTCTTACGGCTTGAATGCAGTCCCTCATATCTGATCTATTTTATCCCTGTTCTCTTGTAGATGTTAACGACTCCCTTCAACTCAGGATGCTGGAGCTGATTTTTGCTGTTCTTGGGTTTCGCTGCGTGTTGAGCTCTTTTCCGCAAGCTTGGAATTGATTCCGTTTCGACCGTTTTGTCACCCAGCAATTACAGAAAATAACTATAACTTAAATCTATCAATAGTTCAAAATTAAATCAATACAGTGGTACTATTTTTGATAAATATATTTTAATTGCATTCTTTATAGCTGTAAATTATTTTATGAAATGACGTCATTCGATAATTGAATTATTCGATGTAGTTTTGATATTTCCTTTCTATTTGATCAAAATTAAAGGCTTGATTACATATTGTGTTTTCTTTTTCAAAATTCTGATATAACTGCCATCCTCGGGCACTAAATCAAGTCAGTTATTGACACTGTCTTTAAAGGGATGAGGCCAATGCTTGTGTCATGTGGCACAACAGTTAAAAAACCAGTCAAAGAGATTACACTGAAACTATTGGCATAGGAATAGGGTGAGTGCCCAATCGGCACATTTTTTTCTCTTATATTGAGTGGTGCCATTTTCGGCCACCTTCAGAGATTTTTCTTGGAAGTGAATGGCGAAAAGCTTGTCTCGCTACGGGCGGTACAAACTCTAGCTATGCCTCTGCTTGAAGCTATGGGGAAAATTGTGAGTCAACAAAATATGACATGATTTTAGTGCTATAATCAACTTTTCAACACATTACCATAATGTGCACACTTCATTATTGAGCACAATCAATTAACAGCAACAAATTAAATGTGCCATACAGTTTAGACAATCACATGTCCCGCTGAAGACAACGGTACGAGTTTTTCAAATAGGATCAAACGTGACAGTTGCGCTGCCAAGATTTGGACATCTTCACGTCATGGCATCTTTCTCTAAAGAAAGAAATATTTATTTTCTTTCCGTCTCACGACGCCATCTTTATCGAAAGTCGCTATTAAAGAGCGGTAACTGTCCAGATACCTGTCTTGCAACTGAATCAGGATTACTGAAGAATGAGTTGCCTGGCGCTTTTTACTGGATCATCTCCCCAACTAGACTGATAACTCATATCCTATAATAACAAATGTTGATATTTTGTTGGCGTGTTTTGGGAAAGTTGGGGTGGGAGCAGGGGGGGGGGATCAGCGAAGATCAGTATTCAAACTAAGACATGAGTCCCGGCGTCGAAGCGAGGATCTCAGCTGACTTCTTCTCTTCAGATAGAATTCATACATGGCCTGTAATAAACATAGAGAGTTGTTCTGAATTTATAGATGGATTGAACTGAACTGATAGATATATTGAATTGAAGGATGGATTGAATTAAAAGTAATCATTCATTGCCTAAAATGGACTTAGAGAGTTGTACTGAATTCATAGATTGAATTGATAGATATATTGAATTGAAGGATGGGTTTAATTAATAACATTCATACTTGGCCTAAAATGAATATAGAGAGTTGTAATGAATTCATAGATTGAATTGATAAATATATTGAATGGATAGATTGAATTGATGGATATATTGAATTGATATGAAATCAGACATGGCCTGTATTATAGATAGACAGTTGTACTGAATTGTTTGCCGTATCAGACATGGTCTGTATTATAGATAGACAGTTGTACTGAATTGTTTGCCATATCAGACATGGCCTGTATTTTAGATAGATATTTGTACTGAATTGTTTGCCATATCAGACATGGCATGTATTATAGATAGACAGTTGTACTGAATTGTTTGCCATGAAATTGAAGGATTAAATGATACAATGGGCATTGAATGGGAGACAATTCACAAAATTCATGAACGTTTTATTGCAGATGGGCCATGTTTCTTATGACAGTAAAATAGAGCTTGTTCACTTATTTCATGAATATTTAACTGGCAGATAAACTAACAACTTATAATTATAATATTTATTATGGATGACATTTAGTTACCGGTACTTAAAAAATCTAGTTTCATATTACTTCCCTTTTTAACAGTTCTGTCCCCTTGGGAACTTATACGGACGATGAAATTAGCTTAGTTTCAAAATGTTATTGCGACAGTTTTATCCTAAACAAATATGAATCCTTTTAAACATTGAGGGGAAAAACATGTTTTTAGCACAATTATTAAATTTGGTACTTTTTAATGGTTACCTTGTACTTCAAATGATATACTTTGCCAGTTCATTTTTTTCAACAACCCAAAAGTGGGAGCCAATAAGGCTTTTGTCTCTTTACCGTTGGACCCAAATGAACTTATTTTTACCTGCTTGATGTGTTTATGTAAAGCCTTCTGCCCCTGGGTTTCTGGGGCCATGTGAGTGAGGCTGTCGTAGGTCCTCGTGTAACGGTCGTAAAGCTTGTTGGCCATTTTCAGATTACCGGTCTGAGGATAAGTTAGAGTTAAATACACGTATACAGTTGCCTAGTTACGTATACAGTTGCCTAATTACGTATACAGTTGCCTAGTTGGCTCAGTGTCGAGATTTTGCGGCCTGCGACCTTACACGAAAAAATATCTGCAATTTGCCGAAAACTCCTTCCCTCCATATAATGAGAATAAGTATCGCCCGGCCTGGACCATCCTCACTTCCTACGCCACTGCAATTATATTAAAAAAAATTAAAGAGTTGACATTAAACAAAGAAACTTTATTCTCTACTTCATTCGGGAAGTGACTTACCTAATGGATCATGAAATTGTTCAGGTTTAACTTGTTATTTAAATTATTCGATTTGGGCAAGTTGACGTAATTTAACAAGAAGTTTCGAAAATTCAAGATTATATTGCAATAGTTTAACATGAAGGCACAGACGTGGCGTTGGTCTCTGCAACACGTGCGGTTGCAAGGAGACTCGGATATTTCAAGAGCCCAAAGCTGTGTTTTTTTTTTTTTTAATAGGCCATCATTTTTAAATGTAGAGTGCACACAAGCAAAACTAGCGGCCGGCTCAAAAAGTTGCTCTGCATGCAGTCGTTATTAGTTGACAAGGATTACAAGGGAAACTGCCTAGCAGGGTTGCCCCCCGTCCCTAAATTTACGGACAATCCGTGAAAATGCAACCTACAATACTTGTCCGTAGAAGTCCGTAAGAGCTTACCTATGTCCGCAAAAAATTTAGATATTTTTTGCGGCTTCTAAAACCTAAACAAAACAAGAGATCTCAGCGTTTGTGTTTTCTCATTGCTTGCGTTACACTTGCATGATCTTCACGTTATAAAATATTCTCTTGCCTTATTGATAAATAACATAAGCAATAAATAGAATTTAAGATATATTTCTTTTTAGCTATGTAGGGTCAACAATTTTATTTTATCTTGCGCCTCCGTAGAAAATGTGCTTAACCCGCGAAATTTGTAGTTTTAGTTTTTGCACATAAAATATGTGGAGTTTTAGATTTTTGTTAGTAAAATCTGAGAAGTGTGCAATTTTTGTTAGTTTAACTTGTTGATTGTTAGATTTTTATCATTAAATTTCATTGTATTGAGTTGATAGCTCTTGGTCCAAGTGCTCCATGTCTAATAAGAAGATAACCCTTCCCTGGATTGTACATACCATGTCGTCTAATTCAGTCATGTGATTGATACTCATGGCAGATCTAGAGCGCTGCATTCTGTAAAAATGTGGGTCCTGTAAAGAAATAAAAGCATGGTATGGTATCACAACATTTAAACATTATTAGAAGATTCGTCCATTATTTCAGAAAGAGTTTTACTTCATGAGTATTGTTTACAGCATGAGTTTAATATTTTTTATTTTTTTTTTGCTGGCATCCGTCCATCACAGTGTGACGATGGTGTGGGCTTCGGCGGACGAAATCCACAAGGGCTGGGATTATTTCTTCAAGGATTATAAGCTGGTTCCCAACAGCAAATCGCCTCTCTCCACGCCGCTGGATAACCCAAGGGAACATCATTTGGAAATGTCGGAATGTTTCCTTGTACCAATGTTAGCCGCTTTTCGGGACTCCATCTCCTGGTTTGATTTCAGGGTTTCCTTCTCTTAGTTGAGTTGCCATCCAAGGTTAACGAGTCCCATCTACCCGGGGTGCTGGTGATGTTTTTTTTGCTGGACTGGAATTGAACTCCAGACCACCAACTTGAGATTTGATCAGTTTAGACCACTCGGTCAGAGTTTAATCTTAAAGCATAAATAATTTAGTACATTTTTGCAACATCTTTATAGTCTAATGGCATGAATAAGTTCTTACAGCATTTTTTTTTTAAAATGATCGGTGATAGAGAAGATTATCAACATTAATTTGTTCTCCATTGCATTAGTTTCGTACTTATTTGATTGTGTCAGATTTTGATTATATGCTGGGATGTCTATCATATTAGATACATCACATCAGCTTTTGCGTTGTTGTTATGGCAAGTTTAGTAAAATTCTTTCTCGATATGAATTTTGCTAGAGTAGTAACAGTTTTTTAACTTGGTCCACTGAATGAGATGTAAAGATTCATCATCCCAAAGGCGCAGTATTTAAGAGAGGGCGTCTGTTTGTAGAAAGATGACGAACGAGGTCGTGTCCAACTGACCAAAAAATAAACTTAAATTTGAGAAAGAGTGACCAACTGAACGACGGTTAAATGTACATAAGAGAAAAGGGCATGAGTAATAAAGTATGTAGATTTGAGTAAGAATTTTTGGTGGTCATTTAGGCGCAAACAAAATATAATAAGCTGGTGTCAAATTATTGCTGGACAACAATGTGCTTTTTCTCAAGCTCAGGATCATTAGAGATAACAAGACAAAACCGTGTGCAGAGGTTCAAGGAACAGAAGTTTTCAAATATCTAAGCGATGGCGACTGTTTGTCCGTCTGTTACTGTCTGTCACGGTCAAAGCTTGCCATGCGCAGTAATGCCAATCAACTTAATCAAAGCCATCATACTACAACCCGCCCTTATGACTAGTGATCCGTACCCAAGCTTGAGAACACAATAAAAACTCATCTAAAATAATCATACTACAAGATAATTATTTGCAATGAAGACAAAAGAAAAAATACCCCTTATGATAACTGAATCCCCACACATTGAGAACCACTCAATAAACGTATATAAAAGTATCAAACTACAAGATAATTTATTTTTAAAATATTTTTTAAAAAATAAAAACTTAAAATACACCCCTTAACACTAGTGACCCACAACCCCATGTTAAGAACCACTCAATCAGCTTAAATAAAATTATCATACTACAAGACAGTTTAAATATTCGAGAAAAAAAAGATTTAAAATACAAACCCTTATGACTACTGACGCCCACGCAATGAGAGCCTCTCAAAATATAACCCTATAAGATCACTAATTGGGTGCCAGTATGATCAATACATTGATCGTGGGCCACAAGAACCCTAAACCTAGATTTAGAAATACTCAATTTTCAATATTTTTAAACATTTTAATTATACTACTAGAAGGTTACACAAGACACGTCTATACAACCGTCCCGTGCTATAATGGGGTATACAGGAAGAGGTATTACCTTGGATGGGGGAACACGTAGTGCTCCTAGGACCAGTTTGTCCACCTTGGTCCTCTGCTGTCCCTCAAATTTCACCTGTGATTCCCCGTAGCTTTTAGCATGCAACAGCGGGCATTCCCTGCGCAACGGCTTCCACTGGTCGGCTGGGTCTAAACTGACTCAATCCAAATAGCTGGTGGTCTGGAGTTCAATCCCCACCAAAGCCATCATCTCAAGCACCCCGGGTGGATGGGACTCGTTAGCCTTGGAAGGCAACTCTTCTAAGAGAAGGCAAACTCTGAAGTCAAACCAGGAGCAACAATGATCAATAAATTGATCATGGGCCCTCAAATATGGAAAGAAGAAAATAACAGGTGAGTGGAGCCGATAGGCCTCAAACCCTCGGTGAATAAGGTCTACCTATATACTGCATGCAAAGCCTGGACGTCGACGTATCTTGCGGAGGAGACCACCTCGGTTCAACGGAGTTGAAGGCGATTAAAGCCACACACCGTGGAGTGTGTAGAGCAAGATGAAGCACGCTGAACATCTTTGTCAACCTCTGCATTAGTACCCATCTCCTGTCGTCTTGATTTAGTCTTGGCCCTGGACACGGGTGGGTCCGGACAAGAGAGCGTGGTCGACGCCGTGCAATGGGTAAGCGACGAAGCGACAGGTGTGGTGCACTGAGAGTCGAAGCTGCAAGCCTGCACACAGGGGACTCAGGCTATAGGGTCGCTCTTCACTGATCGGAGCAAAAGTGGAGTTTGGCAGCTACCTGGGTGTCTGAGCAATCCTTTTCAGGACAGCATTACTCACCGCCATGCATTAGGAAGAGGCTAGAAAGGTGCCCCACAAAGTATCTGCTCCTTCACACCTTAGCCGGCTAACTGCGGTCAGCGGTGACCCAATTTCGTGGTGGAAATACAAAGATAAACTATATTTCACTTAAAATTGCCACATGGAATATCCGCACCCTGCTTGTCATGGATACTACAAACAGACCTCAACGATGCACAGAGCTCATTGCCTGTGTACTTGCCAGATACAACATAGACATCGCCGACCTAAGGGAAACCAGACTCTCTGGCAAAGGTAAACTCTTAGAAAGACCTACTGGCTATTCTTCCTTTTGGAGCGGACGCGACTCTGGTGCAAGGCGAGACGCTCTAGTTAGCTTTGCTTATTAAAACCTATTCGCCTTAATTAATCTTTATATTCCTTTGCGCCTTAATGAACCCTTAAAATCCTAACCCAAATCTACATACTATACTAGTGGCATGGCAAACTAACACGGTTTAACTTATATATTATGAGATGACGTGGCCAACTGACTTAAATTTAAACTTACATATGAGAGGGCGTGGTCTATCTGTCGCTGTAAATCAAACATCTCTTGCTCTACCTCCACGATTTTGTTGTTGAATTCTAGAATTTTCAAGTTCCTCCCTACTAGATCTTCACAATCTACACAGACACGGTACGTCTCACTAGCCTCAATACCCTCAATTTCGTTCTGGAATCGTTCAATTGAAAGAAAAGTGTAAAAAAAATTATCGAAAGTACATGAGAACATTGATTAACAAACTTATGTTCCTGGCGTGGAGCTGTATAGAAGGCTCTACGCCTAAATACCTTAAAGAACTGATTTCTAAACATGTATATCTAAAGAACCTACTGGTAGTAAAGAGGTAATACGGAGTGTACTCTTTTAAATCTATAGCACCTAAATTATGGAACAGTATGCCTCAATTTTTAATGGAAATAGAAAATGATTTTAAAAATCATTAAAGAAACATTTGAAGACTTGTTCTTTAAATATATTTTAGGACATCAGAGCGCTTTGAGCATGCAAAATTAGCATTGACACAAGCGCTATAAAAGTATTCAATATTTATCATCAGATATGTGTAAATCTCAAAACAACAAAAACACTTTACACAATAAACCAGTAGCTCTAAAGCCTTATTAAATGAATTGATCCCATTGATAACATTTGCAAAGTTATCGCTTAAAAAATGTATTTCTAAATTTCTCTAGCGAAACCGGGTATATTTTCAAGTGACCCATGAGGGGTCGCTACTACTCCCATCGACGCACCTGCTTGTCTGCTAGTACATGGAATTTGATTTGCTGGATGTCCAGGTGCCCCTTCAGGTCAGTCCCCAACGGCAGATACAGCTGAAGTGTCTTGTAGATGCACATTATACAGAACGGCTTGTCACACAAGGCACAGTCTCTTATCTCCGTCAGTACAGACAATGGCCGTCGACATGACTGGCATTCCTTGACTTTCTTGTTGGACTGCTGTGAGAGTTTAAACTAAACTATGTCAACGATAAAAATTAAGAGCATTCGACTGGTCCTAAATATATATTTATGTATGTATTAATATCAGCCATTGGAGTTATGTCAAAATTCGTTCAATCTGCGTTGATAGATTTTGTGTTCCCCAAATTATGTCACCAATTTTTATCTTAACTCCGGTCATCCTACTGATCTAGGACGCGACATCATCCAAAGGTCAAGTAGAAGTTAGGAGGTGCATACAAAAAGTGGACGCTTTGGCAAAAACTGAGGCCGCTCGGCAGTAATTGCCTTATAAAAACTTACCAGTCACCTATCTCAGTCTTAAGACATGGTAATGTGGCCCATTCCACGATCAGGTGGAAACACAGCGCGAGAGCCAGGTGGGTGCACACTAATAAGCCTGGGCCGGGTAAAGCGATCCATTGTGGAAACCGAAACGCCAACACCAGAGTGTAGTGACTCGGAAGAGAACGAACAACTGCACAAGTTGATCCTACTTTGATATTTGATAGGCGCGATAGCAGCAGGTATCCGAACTGCCGTCAATGCATCCTAGCCCCAAAACAAGGGAATACTCGCTAAGAGAATGAACCAGGCTTGACCTTAGTAAAAGTACAGAGGCGAGCGATTGGTACGTTTACAAAATTTTGTAAAGAACATTATGGAGGAGTTTCCGATCAAATTGTAATATTAGTGAAATATGGAAAACGTAGTTAAGGAAAAATTGATGAAAAACACCACGTGTTTGCAAAACCCGTCTTCGCCGAACAAATTATGATCCCAAGCAAAATGGCGCAGTCCTCCCTAGAGACGAAGCATGTGCCAAATTAATGGCGTTGGACAAAATAGTGATTAACCCCCCTCCCCCAGCTAGACACCCAGTCCTCCCCATCCCTAGTCGTCATCCTTAACAATCTGTCTCCCCCGCCCCCACCAGCACACACACGCACATCAAAGTCTAGAATATAAATATATTGGTTGAAAACTGTATTACGTTCGTTGACGTCACCTTATTGTGGCGTTGTCCTGTGTTGTTCAAGTGGAGATAACTCGATAGAAAAGAGTTTTTGGACTGTTTCTCCAGCTGATGATGAAGTTCCGTCATAAATTCGAGACACAAATTCTGTAACCCGGGACTGACGTCAAGCCTTCACGTTGGGGCAGGGGAAAGGGGGTTAAAAAAATCCTAACACATGTTTTGATAATATGTTATACATTTTTTGATAATATGTTATACATGTTTTGATAATATGTTATACATGTTTTGATAATATGCTATACATGTTTTGATAATGTTAGACCTATACATGTTTTGATAATATGTTATGCATGTTTTGATATGTTATAACATGTTTTGATAATATGTTGACATATACAAAGTCAAGTACCCCCCCCCCCGAGCAAAATGAGTAAAAAAGGAGTGTTAATTTTTTTCTGCAAACTGATGCGATGTAAGTTTATCGATTTTTACAATGCATTCTCAACTTTTCTACACATTGTCAGATGACCTATTATTAGATTATTAGTGACAGATGAAGTCTATTGCTAGAACTCTCCCTCAGTTTCTTAGCTCAGTTTGGTATTAGTACTAGCAGTCGTGCAGCGCTAAGTAGTTCCAAACGTCTGCATTTTTACTGAGCGACTGTTTTGAATGTCATCTGTAACTACGCAAACGTGTTCAGTGATTAAAGGTCCATTTAAAGGGGCTAGGCGCTAACATTCCATAGTTTAGCTTTAGAAACAACCGGTTGTTGATTATCACAAAAAGTTAATAGAATTAATTCATCACTACTTATTATTGTAATTTTTTTTTTTTTTTTTTTTTTTTTTTTGTAAATGAGATATTTTAATATTATTACTTATTTTGAAAAAAAAACTAACAAACAACGTGCAAATTCAATATAGAATAGAAGTATCAAAAAGTTAGGCCAATCGCTTCGCGTGTCAGTTTACTATAGCAAACACTAGGTCGGTCAGCTGAGACTGAAATAGAGTTAGTGGGGTGTTGTTGGGAATGGAGAGAGTCGTGAATTTTAGCTCAGATATGCCTTTCAGTCAAGCAAGTGTGCAGTTAGGGCCTTTTGTGCTTGCTTAAGACCTTTTCTCATGCTTAAGAAACAAATCGGATTTCCCAAAAACTTATATTTTGAAAGCCAAACAGCACCACCCCCCCCCCCAATGCCATCCCTTCCTCCGGCTAAGAGACCAAAATTATATTCTTTGGAGCTTAAAACTGTGTTTATGAGAAATGAAAAATACTCTGCTATGGCACAATACAAATTAAGTCAGCTTAGCTATAAACGGAACAATTAAAGTGTAGACGTACTTACATGTTCGGCAACTCTGGTTGCTTGCCGGGATTTAAGGTTGTGAGTGGCTTCCCATGTTCAGCCCTTGCCTCTGCTCTAAATCTAAGAAATTCTGACCACAGACCACGAGTTGCTCCCCTGCACGATTGGCGGTCAACCTCGTCCCTACACGCTCCACAAATCTAAGACGTACATAATTTAACATAATTAGGCTGTGTCTATGAGTTGCCTCCCGGGGCAAATGACATGAGCAGGGGATATTAACATGAAAGCGTGCAGTATCATGATGCATCTTGAGTCTTTGTGATCCAAAATATCTGGGGCTTCTAGATCTTTGTATGGGTCTAGAGACTAGAATCATTGAGTGCCTAGAGTACTCGGTATCTTAGAATCCATAGTCACCCAACCAATTCAAATTAAGATAGAAAATGAAGTTTTTGAAGGTAGGAGAGTAACAGAATAAGCGAATTTGAGCGTGAATGAGAAAGAATGTTTATGAGAGAGTAAGAGAATGAGGGAGTAAGTGACGGAGGAATTAAGTTAAGGAGAGAGTACGTGGATGAGAGAGTAAGTAAAGGAGAGCCTAAGTGAATGATGGAGTAAATGAATAAGAAAGGATGTGGATAAGAGAATAAGGGAATGAGGGAGTAAGTGAGGGAGGAAGTAAGTGAATGAGAAAGTAAGTGAACGGGGGATGAAGTGAAGTAGAAAGTAAGTGATTGAGAGAGTACGTGGATAAGAGTAAGTAAATGAAGAAAGAAGTAAGTGAATGAGAGAGTACGTGGATGAGAGAAAGTAAATGAAGGAGGAAGTAAGTGATTGAGAGAGTACGTGGATGAGAGAAAGTAAATGAAGGAGGAAGTAAGTGATTGAGAAAGTACTTGGATGAGAGTTAGTAAATGAAGGGGGAAGTAAGTGATTGAGAGAGTACGTGGATGAGAGTAAGTAAATGAAGGGGGAAGTAAGTGAATGTGAGAGTACGTGGATGAGAGTAAGTAAATGAAGGAGGAAGTAAGTGAATGAACGAGTACGTGGATGAGAGTAAGTAAATGAAGGAGGAAGTAAGTGATTGAGAGAGTACGTGGATGAGAGTAAGTAAATGAAGGAGGAAGTAAGTGATTGAGAGAGTACGTGGATGAGAGTAAGTAAATGAAGGAGGAAGTAATGAATGAGAGAGTACGTGGATAAGAGTAAGTAGATGAAGAAGGAAGTAAGTGAATGAGAAAGTACGTGGATGAGAAAAAGTAAATGAAGGAGGAAGTAAGTGAATGAACGAGTACGTGGATGCGAGTAAGTAAATGAAGGAGGAAGTAAGTGATTGAGAGAGTACGTGGATTAGAGTAAGTAAATGAAGGAGGAAGTAAGTGATTGAGAGAGTACGTGGATGAGAGTAAGTAAATGAAGGAGGAAGTAAGTGATTGAGAGAGTACGTGGATGAGAGTAAGTAAATGAAGGAGGAAGTAAGTGATTGAGAGAGTACGTGGATAAGAGTAGGTAAATGAAGGACAAAGTAAGTGAATGAGAGAGTAGGTGGAAAAGAGTAAGTTCATGAAGGAGGAAGTAAGTGAATGAGAGAGTACGTGGATAAGAGTAAGAAAATGAAGAAGGAAGTAAGTGAATGAGAGAGTACGTGGATGAGAGTAAGTAAATGAAGGGGGAAGGGAAGTAAGTGATTGAGAGAGTACGTGGATGAGATAGTAAGTAAATGAAGGGGGAAGTAAGTGATTGAGAGAGTACGTGGATGAGAGTAAGTAAATGAAGGAGGAAGTAAGTGAATGAGAGAGTAGGTGGAAAAGAGTAAGTAAATGAAGGGGAAAGTATAAATGAGAGAGTACGTGGATAAGAGTAAGTAAATGAAGGAAGAAGTAAGTGAATGAGAGAGTAGGTGGATGAGATAGTAAGTAAATGAAGGCGGAAGTAAGTGATGAGAGAGTACGTGGATGAGAGTAATTATATGAAGGGGGAAGTAATTGATGAGAGAGTACATGGATGAGAGTAAGTAAATGAAGGGGGAAGTAAGTGATTGAGAGAGTACGTGGATGAGAGTAATTATATGAAGGGGGAAGTAGGTGATTGAGAGAGTACGTGGATAAGAGTAAGTAAATGAAGGAAGAAGTAAGTGAATGAGAGAGTGCGTGGATGAGAGTAAGTAAATGAAGGAGGAAGTAATTGATGAGAGAGTACGTGGATGAGAGTAAGTAAAAAGGGGGAAGTAAGTGATTGAGAGAGTACGTGGATGAAAGTAAGTAAATGAAGGAGGAAGTAAGTGATTGAGAGAGTACGTGGATGAAAGTAAGTAAATGAAGGAGGAAGTAAGTGATTGAGAGAGTACGTGGATGAAAGTAAATGAAGGAGGAAGTAAGTGATTGAGAGAGTACGTGGATGAGAGTAAGTAAATGAAGGAGGAAGTAAGTGATTGAGAGAGGTCGTGGATGAGAGTAAGTAAATGAAAGGGGAAGTAAGTGAATGAGAGAGTACGTGGATGAGAGTAACTAAATTAAGGAGGAAGTAAGTGATTGAGAGAGTACGTGGATGAGAGTAAGTAAATGAAGCAGGAAGTAAGTGATTGAGAGAGTACGTAGATGAGAGTAAGTAAATGAAGGGGGAAGTAAGTGAATGAGGGAGTACGTGTATGAGAGTAAGTAAATGAATGGGGAAGTAATTGATGAGAGAGTACGTGGATGAGAGTATGTAAATGAAGGGGGGAGTAAGTGATTGAGAGAGTACGTGGATGAGAGTATGTAAATGAAGGGGGAAGTAAGTGATTGAGAGAGTCCGTGGATGAGAGTAATTAAATGAATGGGGAAGTAATTGATGAGAGAGTACGTGGATGAGAGTAATTAAATGAATGGGGAAGTAATTGATGAGAGAGTACGTGGATGAGAGTATGTAAATGAAGGGGGAAGTAAGTGATTGAGAGAGTACGTGGATGAGAGTAATTAAATGAATGGGGAAGTAAGTGAACGAATGTTTAGTCATGAACATTACAGTGAACACTAGAACAGCGGTTCTCAATCTGTGGGTCGCGACCCCTTATGGGGTTGCACGACCCTTTATGAGGGTCGCCTAAGACCATCTGAAAACACAAATGCTCTATAGTTATAAGGTATCAACAAAATTAATTTAGTGGTTGGGGGTCGCCACAACATGAGGAGCTGTATTAAAGGGTCGCGGCATTAGAAAGTTTGAGAACCACTGCACTAGATGAATGAAGAATGAACGACTGATAATGTTACCGTAATTGCGTTTCTGCATGTACCCAACCTTGATATTGTAGATTTTTTAGTTTCTTTTTTTTTTAAAATCAAATTGAATGAGTGAAATAAACAAATAAAGATTTGTTGAATCATTGGCCGAACTGACCCTTAACTCGGACGGCCGGGTTTCATTTTGTTCCAAGGTATCGTAACACAGTTGGATACAGCGTTCGCAGAAACATTTCTTGCAACTGTAAAAATACAATGGGTACATTTAATTAATGAAAGGTTTTCAATGTTGTTTAAAGGTTGTTTATTCGGCGGTCTAATCTGAGTGATATCCCAAGCTTGTGGACTGGAGTTCATATCCCAGCAAAAGCATAGACATAAGCAAAAATAACAAGACAACTCCACGTGTATGGGATTCGTTCGGTGTTTCTTTCAATTTCCTCCGGTGGAAAGAGAGGGGCGCTTCTTCAGATTTTCGGGGGTGGGGGTGGAGGGCAGTGCCAGTGGAAAGAGGCGTAACTAAGATGGGTATGTCTTTTCTTTACCGTATTTGACGGACTATAAGACGCACTTTTTTCTTTGAAAAATTGCCTCCAAAATTCAGGTGCGTCCTATACTCGAAATTAATCTAAAAATATCCAGTGTTTGATATAAAATTCCCGATAGTCTTAAAAAATTGCTTTAAAAAGTTGCCTCTTATAGTCCGTAGTGTCTTATAGTCCTTAGCATCTTATATTCAGTAGCGTCTTATAGTCCGTAGCGTCGTATAGTCCGTAGCGTCGTATAGTCCGTAGCGTCGTATAGTCCGTAGCGTCGTATAGTCCGTAGCGTCTTATAGTCCGTAGCGTCGTATAGTCCGTAGCGTCGTATAGTCCGTAGCGTCTTATAGTCCGTAGCGTCGTATAGTCCGTAGCGTCGTATAGTCCGTAGCGTCGTATAGTCCGTAGCGTCGTATAGTCCGTAGCGTCGTATAGTCCGTAGCGTCTTATAGTCCGTAGCGTCTTATAATCCGTAGGATCTTATAGTCCGTAGCGTCTTATGGTCCGTAGCGTCTTATAGTCCGTAGCATCTTATAGTCCGTAGCGTCTTATAGTCCGTGAAATAAGGTATTCTGAGCGGCGACATTTTCGGACAACTTCAAATTTTATATCGTGAAAGACAGCACGACAAAAACATAAACCCACCTAGGGTGGCGCTAAAACTAGGCACGCCGCTGGGAAGTGGATAGATTGGCACCGAAATTGGCGATCAGGGCAAGCAATACTGGAATTGTTATCGGGATATGGGACAGAAATCGTGGACGCCAATAACTCAAACCACAAAACTTGTGATTATTTGAAATCAAAATGCCATACATAGCTAAATCATTCCGGTTGTGGTTGCGCCCCAAGACAATCATTTGGCGCAAGCTAAGATTCAACTTCGTAATGTCACATTAATCGTCGACAAGGAAAGGGTAGCAGAAATTAAGGATGCCGAAGAGTATTGAGCAAAAGCAGGGGCAGGGGCCTTAATTTTAAAAGAAAATCAAAATGGATGTTGCATCTATAAATTCAGTGTTGCTTTCAGGCAATTTGGAAGAAGACATTTCAGACTTTCATATTTTTACTATTTGATGCATCCTGGAGAAATGCTACGAACACAACTTCAACATACAACAACTCTATGTGGACTAGACAACAGCGTATGATAGCGTAGACAGGAAATAAATGAAATAGCAAAACGAGGTATGTGTGAAGCTTGAATAAGATAACAGGACAAAAAACATCTCTATGCCGAAACGTCCTTGTTTTTTGTCCTGTTATCTGTTTGGTCCTATAATTCCATGCCCGAATCAAACTGCACGATCGTCCATTTCGCCAGCTCTTATGATTTTAAAATTAGCCTTATCTCCCTCTTTTTTTTTTTCTTTAGTGAATTATTTTAAAAGGGAGTTTGCGTGCATGTGTGTGTGGTGTGTGTGTGGGAGGGGGGGGGAAGGGGGGTGTTGAAAGGAGAGGTCATTTACTGTAAATCCATAAATAAATATAGTTGATCTTAAATGTTACCACCTACCTGGCACAGTTGTATCTGGCACTAAGGATACCAAAGGGGCGGCCACATTGGCTGCACTGTCTTGGCTTAGGAAGGTTTGCCTGAATGTTAGATGGCATCTTCTTGCCCTTTGTAACTTGACAGCCATAGAGAACAACAAATATTAATGCCATTTTTTACATCTTAATTTATTGTATTAAATGATTTTAAAAATTTATAGATGATTATCTTTATTTAAATATCTGATTGATGTGTCTGCTCGCTACATTTCGGATGAACACTGACACATCTGTCCAATTTCTTTTCCTTACAACTTTATCGTTCTCCTAATTTGCTGGACACCTGGTCTAACGTTTCTTAACCACAGTGAGGCGTATCTATATCGTGTGCCCTACTAATTTGAAAACCTCTTTTCGAGTCTCTTGGTTAATTTCACTGTCATTTCTTTTTCTTCGCTGGTACACCTTAATGTGAGTGGTATCTATTACATATTTAAACCCTGCTAAAGGTCTGGTTATCATTGGGCTCCGAGGTGTAAGTGGGTCCTGGCACTCTCCCTTAACCTCACTGACCTCCAGCCATGCATTTACAGGACATCGCAGGTTTTCATATACTGCACTAAATAATGCGTCTCCTGTGTAACACCAGCAAATGGACTTGGGTGTTGCGACGTACACCCTCTCCATCCCCCACCTACTTGCGCCAGAATCTGACTATGGCCGACATGACAAGATAAGTACTGACCAGATTTGGACATTCGGTATACCACCAGAGCGTTTGTGATTACGTCAGCAACGGACATCGAGCGGTTGCGAATAGAATCCAGTTCTGGCGGGAAGATGTTCTGTTTTACGTCCCAGCTCTCAGTAGTGGTTGACGTCTGTGAGAAATACAGCGAGCTTGGTAAATGGTTTTGCTATAGTTATAGCTGGGGTACCGCGCTATATAAGACCACTTATTATTATTATTGTTATTATTATAGCGAACTATGCAAGTTTTCAAAGTTCTAAATTTAAACGCATGCCTCCTCCCCCCCCCCCCACCCCTCGGAAATCAATAAATATTTTTTAATCTCAGACATAATGCAAGATATGCACGAATGGCCTACATAACTGTTCTATCTGTCAGCACACCAAACGTCCTTAAGCCAACAGCTCAGCCAGATTACAGTCTTTTCTTACAGGATCCCAATTACAAAGAGTGTGCACTGATTTCATTGGTCCTTTTCCCGTCACTGATACTGGCAATAGATACATTCTTGTAATAGTGGACGCGTTCACTTAATACACCCAGGCATATGCTCTTCCTGACCGTTCAACAGAAACAACGGCCGCTATGTTGGTAAACCAATTCTTCTCGATTTTTGGTTGCCCGTTACAGTTGCATTCAAATCAAGGATCCAATTATAAAAGTAAATTGTTAAAACGAATAATGGAACTACTAGACATTAAGCAAATCAGGACATCATCTTTCCATCCAGCCAGTAACGGACAGGTCGAACGTTTTAACTCGTTGCTAATTAAGATGATATCTGCATTCGTATCAGAGAATCAAAAGGTCTGGGACGTCCACCTCCCACTGTTGAGCAATGCGCACAGAAACCATCAACATCCCAGCACTGGCCACAGTCCCAATTATTTAATGTTTGGGCGGGAGCTCTACCAGCTTATGCACCTGTCCATCGGGGCTCCATAAATGTCTCGGTCAAACCGTACTGGAGTACGTTTGGAAACTTGAACAAAAGTTGGACGACATTTATGCCACCGCCAGGAAACATCTTAAGACAGCAGAACAGCGTCAGAAAAGAGACCACGACACTCGGGCGTACAACATACCTCCTACGTGGGGACGTAGTTCTCTGTATGGATTTAACTAAACAGGGGGGTCGAACCCCAAAATTGAACCCCAGCAAATGCCGCAGATCATTCTTAGTCAGTCCAAAATTTACTGATCTGTTATTTGAAATTCGAGGAGAGGGAAAGGTGTAGGCAAGAATAATTCACCATGACCAATTAAAACCCTATTATGACAACAATCCACCAGACTGGATTTTAAATTTACAAACAATTTGCCTAAGAGACAACTTGATAGGAGACACTCCGGAGCTTCCAAGCGTTCTGCAAGAAGCTTCGAGTGTTAACGACAGTGGGGACGCCTAAATTCATTTTATATGATGACTGTTATGTAGACGACGTGTTTACGTCATGTGCTCTAGCAGCCATTGCACTACTATTTGTTGGAAATTGACAAAATGCTGAATGCTAATTGCGCATTGTTTTGCACACCACATTAGTTATTGTGTAGTGACGTCATGTTTTTATGCTGTCTTGTCGAGTGCTCCATGTAAGTAGGACTCCATGTTGTTCTCCTACAATAAAACGTTGAACTAACCTTGATGGTTGCTCTGTTGTTTGATTATCTTCCTAGTGAAGTACCTTAGCAACTTAATATTTTCAACAGGTTATGGGCCCAGGTAGCGTTATCCTGTGCTAAGCTGTTGCTGATTCGATTTTTGTGTGGTTTGTATTCGGAATCGGTGTTCCCAGAATTACCGGAATGGCAAACATGAACACAAGCATCATTCCTCTTGTTGGTGCAAATTATTCGACCTGGAAAATTCAATGCCAGATGGCCTTGATGAAGGATGGACTCTGGGGGATTGTTACTGGGTCTGAAATTGCACCTGACGAAGCTGAATCGGAGAAGGTTGCTAAATTTACTGTAAGGAGAGATAGGGCTTTGGCTATCATTGTGTTGGCGTTGGACACTTCATTGTTGTATTTAATCGGGAATCCAGTTGAACCCAAGATTGTCTGGGAAAAACTGAGGGATCAGTTTCAAAAGAAGACATGGGCTAACAGACTGGCGCTGAGAAGGAGATTACTTACAATTAGAATGAATGATGGGGACTCTGTGCATGAGCACATTAAAACTCTAACAGAGATTTTCAACGAGCTTGCAGTGGTAGGAGATGCCGTTGATGAAGAAGACAGGGTGGTTCACCTACTTGCTAGCCTTCCCAACTCCTACAATATGTTGGTAACAGCTCTTGAGGCTTGCTCAGAAGTTCCAAAGATGGAACTTGTAACTGAACGATTACTTCACGAAGAGCGAAAGATATCACAACGAAGGGAAGAAGTACCAAGTAGAGCACTTGTGTCGAAGGAGAAGACAATTAAGAAAGGACCCCAGTGTTATTATTGTAAGAGAATTGGACACATTAAAAGAGATTGTCCTGAGTTAAAAAGGCAAGAATCAGGCAAACATATTTACAGACAAAATAAGGCAAATCACACTGAGATTAAGGCTAAGAGATGCTCAAGTAATGAAAGTGTTGGACTGTTAATGAGGTCCGGCATGCCTTAACTACAGGCAATGGTGTCGTGACATGGATTATTGATTCTGGAGCAACAAATCATATGTGTTGCAGGAGATCTGAATTTGTCCAGTTGTCAAACTTGGAAGAGCCTCTGAATATAGGACTCGGAGATGGACGGAATCTGAAGGCACATGACTGTGGTGTTGTCAAACTAAGGATGAAGTTGCCTGGTAATAAGCACCAAGAATGCACGCTGCATGATGTGCTTTATGTGCCTGAACTCAAGTGTAATCTGTTCAGTGTTGACCATGCAATTGAGGCTGGAAAGAAAGTTTATTTCAATATCAAAGGTTGTGAAATAAAAGATAATAACGGTAAACTTCTGGCACAGGGAGTGCGGTCACGTGGTTTGTACCATTTGTGTCATTATGCCAATGAAGATCAATGTAATACAGCAAACGGAGGTAAAGAAACAAGTGAGGAACTGTGGCATAGACGCTGCGGACACCTAGGTTTTCAAAATCTCAAGAAGTTGGCTGTAGGAAATCTAGTGGATGGTCTAGAGTAGGATGAGCGGTCAAATAGGGAACTGTGTGAACCATGTGCAAAGGGCAAACATCACAGGACCAAGTTTCCGTCAAGTGTAAGGGTAAGAAATGGGATACTTGACCTGGTTCACAGTGATGTCTGCGGGAAGGTCAGCACACAATCGCTTGGTGGAGCTCACTATTTACTTACTTTTATTGACGATTTCAGTCGATACACTTAGGTTTATATCCTTAAGCACAAGGATGAGGTCTTTAAGTGTTTTCTTGAATGGAAAGTGATGGTATAGAAGTCAACTGGAAAAAATCATAAGGCCCTACGCACCGATAACGGGGGAGAGTTTATTTCAAATGAATTTGAAGGTTATTTAAAGAAAGAAGGGATCCGTCATGAACTGACTGTTCCGAAAACACCAGAACAGAATGGAGTAGCAGAGAGGAAGAACAGGACTATTGTGGAAGCAGCACGTTCCATGATGGCTGAGGCACAGCTCCCACGAAAATTCTGGGCAGAAGCAGTGTCAACAGCTGTGTATCTGCAGAATCGAAGTCCTGTTAACGTTCTTCAAGATACTACACCATCTGAGGTGTTTACTGGTACGAAACCAAGTGTCGATCACCTGAAAGTGTTTGGATGTGTTGCGTATGCACATATTCCTAAAGATGAAAGACAAAAGTTCGATTCAAAAACACAGAAATGCGTTTTTCTGGGGTGCGGAATCGATGTCAAGGGTTATCGCCTATACAATTTGAAAACTAATCGGGTGATTTACAGCAGAGACGTTCTGTTTAATGAAAACAAGTTCGGTCTTGAGAAGGAGGCTGAAATATCTCAGGAATCAACACCTATATGTCTGGAATTCATTGACGACGATGAAGAAGTAGAGAACACGTTCGGACTTGAGAAGGAGACTGGAATGTCTCAGAAATCAACACCTGTGTTTCGGGAATTCATTGATAATGACGTCGATGAAGAAGTGAATCGTGTTGATGATCCTGATGATGAAGGTGTTGATGAACCAGATGAGGAGCTAGATGTCAGACAATCAGCGAGAGTTAAACGCCCACCAAAACGATATGCGGAGTTGTTAAACTTGGCTCGGGATCTGGAAGAACCCAGTACAGCGAGACAGGCCATGGCGAGTTCAAGAAAACGAAGTCTGGGACTTAATAGAACTGCCAGAAGGAAGAAAAGCTGTAGGAAGCAAATGAGTGTTTATGATCAAAGTAAAGGCTGAGAGACAAATTGAGAGACATAGTTTGAAGCTCGGTTGCTTGCACAAATGATAGCTGATATCCTTACTAAGGGACTGTATCAGCAAAGATTCAAGATACTTAGAGACATGATTGGTGTGAAACCAATGAATTAGCTTTATTTAGTATTTTGAGAAGGAGTGTTGGAAATTTACAAAATGCTGAATGCAAATTGCGCATTGTTTTGCACACCATATTATTAATTGTCTAGTGACGTCATGTTTTTATGCTGTCTTGTCGAGTGCTCCGTGTTGGTAGGACTCCATGTTGTTCTCCTATAATAAAACGTTGAACTAACCTTGATGGTTGCCTCTGTTGTTTGATTATCTTCCTAGTGAAGTACCTTAGCAACTTAATACACTACACTACCAATACAAACTGCACGGCCATATTCTTGAGCAAGTTTCCTTCGTAAAGTACCTGGGTGTTACCATTCAAAGAGAGGTCCGCTGGGACGAGCATATTAACAATAAATATAACCAAGCAAACAAGACCCTAGGGTTCTTAAGGCGAAATCTAAAGATTGGCAACTCCTGTGTGAAAGAAAGAGCATATAAAGCCTTTATCCGTCCGATTTTAGATTATGCATCTTCAGTCTGGGACCCATTTACCCAGAAGAGCATTGACAGGTTGGAGGCGGTCCAGCGACGAGCAGCTCGCTTTGTCCTAAACCGCTACAGGAATACCTCTAGTGTTGGCAGCATGCTAGAAACACTAGGCTGGTCACCATTGGAGAAACGACGACGACAATCCAGGCTCTCCATGATGTACAAGATAAATAATGGGCTGGTCCACTGTTCCAGTATTAAACAGAAACTCGTCCCTCTCCCCCATAGACAGCGACGAGGCCATGACAGGCAATTCAGGCTCATACCAGCAAGAAGCCAGTATAGGAGCTGCTCATTCCTGCCCAAGACAATCAGGGACTGGAACCATCTTTTAAAAGGAACAGTTGAGGCGACAACACTAGACACATTTGTGTCTATTGCCTCAAGCCTTCAAACCCCTAGTGCATAATTTCCTCATCACCACCAGTAACAGAAACATTGCAAATCCCATCTACATGCATAGGAGCCAAAATGATCAATAAATTGATCGTGGGCCTTTAAGATATAGAAGAAGGAGAATATTTTCAACACTATTAGGGTGTGGCTTACCAAGAATAGTCTTCCCTTTGATCTTGGCCTTGTTCACTACCAACTAAAAATTAATCATCTGTTCAAATATAATTTTGTGGAAAGATCGGGAGTGAACTGGAAAGGGAAACAATGTGTAAGGCGTTTCCAGATGCGTCGGTAGAACCGACTATATATATATATATATTTAAGGGGATTCAGAGAGCATAGAGGGAGAGATCACGAGATGTTTTTACTTTACGAGACAAGAGTGTGTTATTCTGTGTTTACTTATATGTGTGTATCCGTATTCATCGTCGTTACTATATTTTTGGCACATTGTATTAACAGTGTACCGGTACAAGAAAAACCATACTCTGTAAGTTGATGATTTTAATTATATTTATTTTATTTTATAATTATATTGATCACTAAATATAATCTTATTAATTAATTGTAATTAGCACTGTTCTGGAACGAGCCATGCATGAAAATAGGAGATAATGTTTCCCTATAGACAGCAGTGCGTAACAATGACATTCTTTTTTTAAAGAATAGATTTATAGTGAATAAATGTTGTTTTATTGTATCTCGAGACACTTGTGCTGGACAGTTGCATCAATGTTATAAAGGGATAATGTTCTAATTATGTTATGATTATTGTTATTTTGAGTTGCAGTTGTTTTTTTGGTTTTTTTTAATGTATAAAATGTTATCGGTGAATCTTAGTGACATTAACATTGAAGGCTTTGAGCTAGTTGCGGCTGTATACTGATCACAATTATTGTTCTTGCATTGATATTGTATTAGATTCTGATATTATACTGAACATGTTTTCACAATGTACGTTCAGCCCATGGGAGCAGTGATCAAGCAGTTTAACATGCTATATAACATGTTCGCGGATGACACCCAACTTCGGCAATCTGTGATCCACTCTCAGTTCACTCAGGCTCTTAGTATGACACAGAAGTCAGTTGAGTCAGTTAAGTACTGGATAACTATAAACACGCTTAAACTGAATGATGAAAAGACCGAGCTGATCCCCATTGGTACCGCTCAAAAGCTAAAATATATAAGTAACACACAAACGCTTACTCTCTCAGGTATGCAGTTGAGTTTGCTCAAACAGTGCGAGACCTGGGTGTCTATTTAGACAGAACACTAACTTCGGAAAATCACATTAACATACTTTGCAAGGCTATTTTTCTAGAGCTTCGCAGAATTAGTCATATCAGACCTTTCTTAACGTTAGATGCATCAAAGAAGCTGATGTCTGCATTCGTGCTATCACGCATGGACTACTGCAATGCTCTTATGGTGGGTCTTCCAGCTAGGCTCCTAGATAAAATTCAAAAAGCAAAGAATAATGCGGCTCGCATTGTTCTTCGAAACGCAAATTTGACCTTGCTAAAACACTTCTGAGAGAGTTGCATTGGCTGCCGGTCCGCGCTCGCATAGAGTACAAAATTGCAACTCTGTGCTACCGCTGCTTCCATGACCTGGCATCGTCCTATCTCAAAGAGCTGGTGACGCCTTAGGTACCCATTAGACAACTCCGCTCATCTGATAGGGCTAGAGACCGACCGTATTTCGGCTTCGATTTCGGCGCCGAAAGTGGCCATTTTATCACTTTGGGCCAAGTTTCGGTTTTGGCCAAAACTGAAAAGTTAACTTTCGGCTTAATTTCGGTTTCAGCCGAAAGAGAAAAGTTAACTTTCGGTTTTTCTTCGGCTTTGGCCGAAATTGTCTTAGACTCTCGGCCATCCGGCCGAAAGTGACTAAGGTTTTCGGTCATTTAATACTCAGCGAAAGCGATATTTAACAACAAACTAAGCGACATTTAAGAACAAATTAAGCGATCTTTGAGAACAAACTAAACGATATTTAACAACAAACTAAGGGACATTTAAGAACAAACTAAACGATCTTTAAAACAAACTAAGTGATCTTTAAGAGCAATCTAAGCGATCTTTAATATCAAACTAAACGATCTTATAGAACAAACTAAACGATTTTTAAGACCGAACTAAATTATCTTTAAGAACAAAACAAATGATTTTTAATAGTAAACTAAATGATTTATAAGAATAAACTAATCGATCTTTAACAGAAAACTAAATTTTCTTTAGGAACAAACTAAAAGATCTTTAAGAACAAACAAATAGATCTTAAGGAACAAACTTAGTTATCTTTAAGAACAAACTAAGCGATCTTTATGTAAAAACTAAGCGATCTTCAACAACAAACTAAGCGATCTTTAACAACAAACTAAGCGATCTTTATGAACAAACTAAAAGATCTTCAAAAACAAACAAAACGATATTTAACAACAAACTAAACGATCTTCAACAACAAACTAAATGATATTTAAGAACAAACTAAACGATCTTTAACAACAAACTAAATTATCTTTAACAACAAACTAAACGATCTTTAACAACAAACTAAACGATCTTTAACAACAATCTAAACGATCTTTAACAACAATCTAAACGATCTTTAACAACAATCTAAACGATCTTTAACAACAAACTAAGCGATCTTTATGAACAAACTCATCGATCTTTAAGAAGAAACTAACCGATCAATAACAACCAACTAAACGATCTTTAAAAACAAATTAAGCGATCTTTTAGAACCACATTTTTTAAGAGTGTCCTGGTTTAAACAAATAATATTTTGCATTAATTTCCCCTCCTCCTCCTCCCCCCCCCCCCCACAAATTGTCAAATTTTCTCCTACCATACTAATTTTTTAAAAATTGTTAAGCAATTCAAATTACTTTTATATTAAAATGGTAAAATCCAAAGTATTCATTAGATCAAGGGTCTCAAACTCAAATCCGGGAAGGGGGGGGGGGGCCAGGAGGTAGTGTCTGAATGAGAGTGGGCCGCATCAAGTAATCCACAAAAAAGCGATTACAACTGTTACAATCTGCTCAACCTTTATAAATAACAATAAAATCATTAAGGGTTCTCAAGAACTACTCACTTTTGCCAGAGACCTGGCATACAAAAATATATATAAACATAAAAAAAAAAAATCAGAATTAGACTAGTCGGTGAGATTCGACTGAAACTGTCGCGGAGAGTCACGTTATAGATATGAGAATGGGGGAAACGGGCCGGCGCATTTACACTAAACTTTTCTGTTATGTAGCGGGCCGCAAAATATCGTCTTGCGGGTCACAAATGGCTCGCGGGCCGCGAGTTTGAGACCCCTATATTAGATGTGTATTTATTAATATTCACGATTATCTCATTTTTTATAAAAAGAATATAAATATTTATACTTTCTCACATCATTTTCGATCAATGCAGAATGTATGCGGGAACGAATTTCAAAATATCTTAATATTTCATTTTCGGTTTCGGATTCGGCTTCGGTTTCGGCCGAAATTCATTTTTAACTTTCGGCCTTTTTTCGGTTTTGGCCGAAAGTCATTTTTAAACTTTCGACATTTTTTCGGTTTTGGCCGAAAAGTCATTTTAAACTTTCGGCCTATTTTCGGCCTCGGCCGAAATCAGAAAACCACTTTCGGTCGGTCTCTAGATAGGGCACACTCTCGAAACCACGTGTTCGCCTTGAGACCTACGAGGGGCGCACTTTCGCATTTGCTGGCCCAACAGTTTGGAACACCCTTCCTGTCGCTCTCAGAAACAGCCAGTCACTGGAATCTTTCAAAACTGATTTGAAGACATATATATTTCACAAATACCTGCTGGGATGATGTTGTCTATCTAGCTATTATCTTGTGGATGTGTATTGGCTTGTGTTGTTTATGGTTGTTAGATATGAAAGACTTAAAATGGGTTTTCTCGTATATATTTTTCGCAATGTTGCATTTTGTATTTCAATGTGGTATGTTATAGATTGTTTCATTTCTCTTTTAATATACTAGACTATGCACCGCGCTTCGAGCATTTGGGGATGAAGCGTGATTTTCAAATAAACTTTATTATTATTATTGTTAAATTTTATTTTTATTTTTTTGGTTTAATCTGGTTTTCAACTTTATGTCTTAATTAATTTTCTAGATGTTGTATTATTCCTTATCTAAATGTTGTAAAACGATCATTGTCTGATTGTTGTGAATGTACTAGGCGCTCTGACTGTGATCCAAAACTGACTCTGACCTTGAGCATAACTGTTTAGGAGACCGTGAATGGGGTGACAATTTAGTCCAATTGTCGAATTAAAGGGGTGGGTAGGCGTAGTTAATGAGGGGAGACGACTAGAAGCAATTGAATCAAAGCGAATGGCGTCGCGTGCATTACTGTGAGCTGTTTTTAAATAAATGCTGATGGTCCAAGTCACTTAAAGCCATTTAGAGACCAGTCATAAGGAATTGTAGCGAGGATGTTACGAAATGTCGGGACGACATTGTTTTTGTAAGAAGGGAGTATTGTAAAGAGTTTAGGCTGGGTGGTACATGGGTGGGGGAGCCTGGGTGGTACATGGGTGGGGGAGCCTGGGTGGTACATGGGTGGGGGAGCCTGGGTGGTACATGGGTGGGGGAGCCTGGGTGGTACATGGGTGGGGGAGCCCACAGTACGATGGCTGACTAATTAACATGCGTATCAGATAGCCATCTCAGGAAGAAGCATGAATTTGACAGTGACAGCAGATAAATCAAGACATTGGAAGGTAGAGGTCAAGGGTGCAGGGGTGAGGGGGAGGCCCACAGTTCGATGGCTGACTAATTAACATGCGAATCAGATAGCCATCTCAGGAAGAAGCATGAATTTGACAGTGACAGCAGATAAATCAAGACATTGGAAGGTAGAGGTCAAGGGTGCAGGGGTGAGGGGGAGGCCCACAGTTCGATGGCTGACCAATGACCAAGCGCATCAGACTGTCTATAATGCTTATCAAGCTAGCAACGAACGCTGCAACCACGGTTTTGACAGTGACACTAAAATAAATCAAGACAGAAAGCAAGGGGACTGGCTAGCTGCTGTCCATTGAGACGGAGGGAAGCATTAGGTTAATAAATTAGCACTGGGAAGTAATCTCTCAAGAGTCACAACTAATTCGTGGACTTATTAAAGGGGATCGTTAGACAGTAGAAGCCGGACAGAGTAGCAAATAGACGTGAGAAGATAGTAACGAAATAGAGAGACAACCCGAGACAGTCAGAGCAGAGTTCCAAGGTCTTGATTGTGAACAGTATAGCAGATCATTAAAGTGAAAGGCTAACCATCCAGGTGTTATTACCTGATTGTTGCAGTACGAGAGACAGAGTGAACGAGGTTACCATCCACATAAAGTAGTTAGAGAACGAGGGTAGAGAAAAGACGGCCAAGGGTCTCTGCAATATTTCAAAAATAAACCTCCTGTCTCACCCATGAAGGCTGTATCGTGACCTTTCCTTTCAATAATTAGTTTTAAAATCATTTTAGTTAAGTTGCATGTTTTAAACTACTTTTCTTGTTGTGTCTATTACATACATTGATTTTTTTTAAAGTTTATAAAAAAGATGCTGTTCGAAATTGTGTTATGTGCAATTAGTTATAAGTACTTACCTTTTTCTTGAAAAACCAACCCGACCTTGACCTACACTTCACCAACTCATGACACGATTGTCTCATAAAAATTTCGTCCTGCGGGATTTTTTGAGAGTCGCATTCACTGATCGAGGCAACATCGGAGTCGTGCACAAACTCTACGTCATCTTCCACGTCACTAGACGTGCTGGATACACTTGAGGACGTCGTTATATACATGATAGGCGCTGGAGTAATCTCAATCGTAGGAACAATTGAGTTCAATGGCGTGTGAACAGCCGTTTTCAGATTTGAAGTTTCTGTTGGAGAATTTTGAAGCCTGGTCAGAGGCGGTGGAGATGGAGGTATCGGGGTGGGCGCGTTCCCAATCTTGATTGTTCCAGAAGATCGAAAAAGTGTGTTCAAATTTGGAAAATTAGGTCGGGATCGCCTTTTGGTCTCCGGCGTCGACAAGTTTGATGGCCCCCTGGACGATAGGCACGAGTCGGACCTGTAAGGAATGAATTGAGACGGGGAGCCAAGGAACCGGGGCGCCGCCGCCGGGGGTCGAGAAGGTAGAGACGGTGGCAGGTGGGCGGCAGGGGGTGGAGGCAGCACTGGTGGTTTCTTGGATGAGGGTATGGATGCTGTCTGTCGCAGGGTAGTAGCGAGGACGACATCCGGTAACTGACTCATCCGTCTTGACACATCTGGATGATTCTGTGAGGATCGGAGTGGGACCGCTGGGAGTGTGGAGGTGTATGACGTCAGCCCAGGGGATGTTTGTGCCGGTAGTTTAACCCCATTCATGTGCTGTCCGAATGCACTGTCTGCTAGTGACAACGATGTGGGCTTCGGTGGTGGTTTCCCATGTTTTGATTGGGAAATCAAATAGCTGTCGGAATTGTTAATTGAACTGTTAGGGTACCCAGTGGGCACTTTTCTGGACTCATTGGATTTAAGTTCTGTAAGACAGCTCAGACTTTTGGACATTTCTCCAGAAGATAAGAGATTCCTTGCCCCACCATCACCGAGGCTAAAATACGTTGGAAAATGGTTTTGGTGCTTGGTAATTGTTTCGGTATCAGTTTTTGTCTGCAAGTTCAACTTTTGAATCAACACAGAGCAGTCCTGTACCAGCCTGTTGTCGTGAACGTCCATGGTCGAAATTTTGTGGAGCTTGTAACAAACGTTATCAAAACTTTGTCCTGAAGTTATCTGGGGTGGGGTAAATCGAGATAAGATGATAGGGAGATATAGTGATAAGGTGATAGGGAGATATAGTGATAAGGTGATTTATATCAATTGAAAACAACACAGAGGGAGAGACATCAAACAAAAACTATCCAACAATTTTGTGTATGATATTCTAACGTAAGGATTTTTAATTCTAACTTGCGTAGACAAGGGGAAAACGATTGTGGGGGGGTGGGGTGTGTATGTGTGGGGTCTGAGGGTGTGTGTGTGTTGGTGGGGGTGGGTTGATTACTTTCATCAACAGTTGCCATCTTTTGAAACTAATGTAATGAGAATTCAAACCATTAACTTAAACTCTGGTCAGGACTAAACAAGTAATCCCCTTTTTTAAATATTACATTTTCTTTGAGACGTTAAATTTTCCTTACGGCTGGAAACTCGTCTTCACTTTCATCACTTTTTGCTAACTTTAAAAAAGAAACAATAATCTTACACTCCTCTTTCTTTTAGGCAACCATCGAAAATTTTATTTTTTTAGCTGAGCAACAACTAAATTTGGCATTTGAATTTTAAACTTACAAATTAAAGGTTTAGATTACTTTTTTCTTCTAGAAAATTAGCAGTAAAATCAAGTAAGTTAAAACATTATCTCAATCAGAATGTGCTCTGTCTACCGAGGTCTACACAAATTAGAATAATGGGCTCCATGCCTTTCGCAAAAAATTGATAAGAGATCCTTTTTTTTTCCCCTCAAAACTTCCAATGACGCAAAACACTTTATGTCAAGACATTTGGCGGTTCGCGCAGAAATTTATCGGCATAAAGTGTTTGATTTTTTATTACTTTTTTTTAGACATGATTATATCTATTATCCTTTAAGTGAAAGTTACGTATCTCCGGTAGGAGTTTGGTCAGATCACGTCAATAACCAATCTTTTTTCCAGAAAGAATATGGAGATATGAAATTTGTTGTAAAATTTAAATGATTTGTATCAATATGGAGAGCCTTGGTAGCCTTGATAGCCTTGGTAGCCTTCTTTCTCTACACCAAGGATCGGGGAACTTTTTTTTTTTAGCCATTACCCCAAAATAACTACTTTCTAGCCCGTAGTTACCTCCTTAAATCCATAAAATAAATTACTAAAATCTTCATTGTGGAAGAAATGTTTTCTTTGAGAAAAAGTCACCTGAAATTTTTTTATAAATTTTATAGGCTATTTAAATAATTGAAAATGTGTTACTGTTTTTTTTTTTTTTTTTTGAGGTTGAATAATTGATTTTTATTATTTTATTTAAGTTCGTTTGAGTGAAAAATTCTCAAAGAAAAGTTGCTGAAAATGGCAGAAACTTTTTGAGTGCCTCCTCGAGGGCAGTTCTTTGCATCTCTGGACGTTTTCAGCATCAGTAATAGCGTCACTGGCAATGCGGGGTAGCGGACGTACCCGGGGCACCCTCACAGGGGATAGACACCCTCACAGGGGTAGACAGTAACACAGGGGGTAGACACCCTCACAGGGGATAGACACCCTCACAGGGGTAGACAGTAAAACAGGGGATAGACACCCTCACAGGGGATAGACACCCTCACAGAGGTAGACACTAACATAGGGGATAGACACCCTCACATGCGGAAGACACCTACACAGGGGATAGACACCCATAGACAGTAACACAGGGGGTAGACACCCTCACAGGGGATAGACACCCTAACAGGGGTAGAAAGTAAAACAGGGGATAGACACCCTCACAGGGGATAGACACCCTCACAGAGGTAGACACTAACATAGGGGATAGACACCCTCACATGCGGTAGACACTTACACAGGGGATAGACACCCTCACATGGGGTAGACACTGACACAGGGGGTAGACACCCTCACAGGGGTAGACACTAACACAGGGGATAGAAACCCTCACAGGGGTAGACACTAACACAGGGGGTAGACACCCTCACATGGGTAGACACTAACACTGGGGGTAGACACCCTCACATGGGGTAGACACTAACACATGGGGTAGACATCCCCACATGGGGCAGACACTAACACAGGGGGTAGACACCCTCACAGGGGATAGACACCCTCACAGGGGATAGACACTAACACAGGGGGTTAGACACCCTCACAGGGAATAGACACCCTCAGAGGGGATAGACACTAACACATGGGGTAGACACCATCACAATGGATAGACACCCTCAAAGGGATGGTCACCCTCACAGGGGGTACACACCATCACAGGGGGTAGACACACAGGGGTAGACACGATCCCAGGGGGTAGACACCCTAACAGGGATAAGACACCCTTACATGGGGTAGACCCCCTCACAAGGGATATACACCATCACAGGGGGTAGACACCCTCACAGGGGTAGACACCCTCACAGGGGATAGACACCCTCACAGAGAAAAGACACCCTCACAGGGGGTAGACACCCTAACGGGGGTAGTCACCCTCACAGGGGTAGACACCTCATAGGGGGTAGACACCCTCAGAGAAAAGACACCCCCACAGGGGGTAGACACCCTAACAGGGTTTACACGCCAAATGAAAACTAGTAAATTTGACAGAATTCGATCAAGTTGGCTTTATAACACAACTGAGTTTAATAAAAGAGCAGGGTGTCAGCTGTCACCAGGGTACCACCAGATCAGGTTGTCACCAGGGTACCACCAGAGCAGGTTGTCAGCTGTCACCAGGGTACCACCAGAGCAGGTTGTCAGCTGTCACCAGGGTACCACCAGATCAGGTGTCAGCTGTCACTAGGGTACCACCAGACCAGGTTGTCACAAGAGCAGAGTGTCGCCAGGGCAGGCTGACTCGGAGGCAGTCCATGGATAAGTTTAGATGGAGCGACACCAAGAGAAAACCTCATTAGGGTGGAACCAATTCTAGTGACGCTTCTGATCATAAGATAATATAGGCGAATGTGTAAAAATGATTTATACAAGACGAGATGTAAACGCTAGTGAGCACAAGTTATTGGCTGCGTTTAGCTATTACACAGGTCAGTTTCAGCATTTCTAGGAAAGAAAAATTTTAACAAAAATTATTCTTCAAATATAACTTTATTTATGTCTATTAAGTCCTCATTACCATCAAGATTTTCATCTTTACCTCTTTTAGGGTAATTTACCCCAGTTCGTCCACCACTGCCTTACACACACACCTCATTGTCTATGACAGAGGTCTTAAACTCGCGGCCCGCGGGCCATTTGCGGCCCGGAAGACGATATTTTGCGGAGCAAAGTTCATTGTTAATGCGACCCGCGCGTTTTCCCCATTCTCATATCTATAATGTGACCCTCTGTAACGGTTTCAGTCAAATCTCACCGACTAGTCTAATTGCGATTTTTATTATGTTTGTTTAGGTTTGGACGTCGATTATAGTGGTAATAACCGTTTTATAATCGGACTAAAGGATTTTATTTTATAGTATTTTATGAGAGAAACACGGCAAGAGTGCGGTTTTGAGAAACGTTTAAATAGTCAGTTAGAGGGTTATGCACAACCATAATTGTGTCAATCGTAACTACCTGACACAGTATCAAAGAATCTCTATTAAAATTGCCTCTAGTTTTTACAAGTGAGGGAAATTCAGAGCCTGTCAGCTTGGACACTTTAAAATATGGGGTTTGTCAAAAAGTCATTTTCTACGATAAAAAAGCTACATTCATTCTCCCTACAATAACATATTCCTTCGCATCAATAATTCATAAATATTGCCTCATGCTACTGCCTGTTATTTGAACACGTTTTAGCATTGAAAGCCTTCATGGAGAAGGATGGGGTGGTTGGGGTGGTTGTTAAAATTACAGAGGACCTGAACGTACTCAGCAGGACGTTACAAGACCAGGGACAGCATGTCAGTGTTGCCTACTACAATGTCAGGGCATTCTGGAAAAAAAAAACTTGTGTTATTGTTCTTTGAGAAACGTCTGCCATTTCCCCAAAAAACATGCAAAGTACTCATGAACTCGGGTACACAATTTAGTAATGAGTATACTGATGTCATTGTAAAGCTACAGGAAGAATTTTATCACATGTTTGCAGACTTTAAAACACACACTTTTCAAATGTCTGCTTACCCTTTCTCCTTTAATGTGGAAGATGCCCCAAACGGAGCTGATTGATCTTCAGTGCAATTCTAAGTTCAGGGAGGTGAATGGAAAAACAGACAAGCGTGGACAATTTATGAGAGCATTGCCCTCCATCTTCCCTGATATTTCCAGGTTGTTCAAGCTGATCATGTGCCTCTTTTGGGAGTACCTATCTGTGTGAAAAGCTCTTTTCCACTATGAACTTTAGCAAGTCAAAGTTCAGGGTCAAACTTAATGATGAGCATCTTCAAGCTATGCTGAGGGTCTCAGTTGCTTTCTCACTCAAGCCAAATGTATCTCAGCTGTGTAAGAAGAAGCGCTCTCAGGTCTCTGGAAACGATGAGTAGGAGGAAGAAAGTGAAGCCTAGTTCTTGAGAACCCTTAATATTTTTAATTGTTATTCAATGAGGTTGAGCATATTGTAACAGTTTTACTTTATTGCATTTGTAATCGCTTTTTAATGGAATACTTGATGCGGCCCAGTCTCACCCAGACTCTACCTCCTGCGGCCCCCGGATGATTTGAGTTTGAGACCCCTGGTCTAAAGTGATCTAAATCCAACCCTATATGTGTGAACTGTATGACTTAAAATAGCGTGCCACATCCGTCAACATATTTTTAACGTTTATAAATTTGCCAATAAAATTTCAAAATGTCCACAAAATTAATATATTTTTGTAATTAAAGAATACACATCCCAATAAAACGTGCTTTATTTTTTGCTTGATATTATTTGAACCGTTCACGACTTTCCCAGCTCACAAACAAGATGGTGCTTGCTTAATAATGAAACCTAGTCACGTGATCACATTTTTTGGTCCACATAAATATTTTGTTCACTTTATAATAACATCGTTTTAAGTATAAACATAAAATAACTATGCAATTATTGGTATTCGACTCCTAGTCAGGCCTTTTTGATGTGACGTGGAGGTTGTTTAAGAAAGACAGATATATGTCAACCCTCACCAATATCTTTGATTTTATATATATATATATATATATATGTGTGTGTGTGTGTCATTTCTTATTATATATATATATATATATATATATTTATATATGTGTGTGTGTGTGTCATTTCTTTATGAATTATTATTTATTTATTTTTGTTATTAATTTATTTTTTTAAATTGTTTAATTAATTATTTATTTATTTTTTAATGGGGGTGGGGTGTGTGGGGGTAATTTTTTAGGGTTAAGGATATCACTTGAAACATAAAATGTATACGTCATTTTAAGTTTTCTTCGTTAAAAATAAATAATAAATTGAGAAAAAGCGTGTCAAAATAGCAATTTATTATTATTATTTTTTTTTTTACAGGGTTCTAATGGAAAGAAGTTTCACTGACAACCCTATCTCCAGGAAAATGTGTTAATCCAACGATAGCGAGCTTATAATTACACGCATCATCACCTCATTATTTAGATACTTTTATTTACAAGGGTCGCCTCTTGTACCTTAGTTTACCCACAAGGCACAAAACATTAACAGTCACTCTTATTCAACCTAAACAGTTATAAATGTATGAAACAATTTTCTATGCGGCAAAAGTTTAAATAAGACCTGCCTCTTCAAGAACTCCAGATTAAAAATCCCATTAATATGGCTTCCTCTGGCTGCATCGAGAACACGCACACATACACCACTGAGCACACTCCCCTTTGGGTGCATCGAGAACACGCACACATCCACCACTGAGCACACTCCCATATTTAAAAAAAAAATCATGCCAACTTTGTTCAATGAGAGCTTAAGTCCACTCGAACAGGGATTCTCAAAGCATCATTTCACACGTAGGTTTGTTCCACGACACCAAGTACATTTTATTTATATTTGCAATGGCGTAGACAGGGTCGCCTTGCGCCAAGCGATCATTTTGCCGCGACCTTCCGAAAAAAAAAGAACAAATCTCTGCAGTTGGGTGATAAATTCTCCCCCCCCCCCCCCCTTTTCACTATTAAAAAACCCCCCGGCCCCCCCC